ACTCCAGGTCTTCACAGGTCGCCTGCGATAGATGTATCTGCTCCCCTATCCCCTTGTGTTTGAGCTTAGCTAACAGAAACCTGTGATTAACGGAATCAAGAGCTTTGCAAAAGTCTAAATAACAGACTTCCACAGCTTTGCCCTCATCTAACCTCGAGGTTACCTCGTCTAAAAAACACAGGAAATTAGATAGGCATGATCTACCTTTGGTAAACCCGTGCTGTTGGTCAGTAAGCAGTGAGTTATGGAGCAAATGCTGTGCAGTGTGCTTCCTCACTATCCGTTCTATGCACCTGCACAATATACTTCTTAGGTTCACCGGCCTGTAATTCCTGATCTGGGATTGTGATCTTCCTTTGTGAATAGTAACAACAGCAGCTGTTTTCCAATCCCTCGGTAGCTTGCCTTGGTCGAAACCGGCTTGGAACAAATCCCTTAGCGGTCCCGCTAATATGTTCGCGATCGGCTTGACGACTGCCGGGTAGGTTCCTATGGTGATCGTAGAAGTAGTAGTAGTAGTAGTGAAATTACGCACAGAATTCAGGACGCGAACTACGCAATAGGAATCACGGAACAGGAATTATAAATCCGGTGGCACTAGATCGCAATGGCTCGAACTCGCAATAACCCGCAGGATCGAGACGCGAGGAAAAAGGCCACAAGACAGGCGAATCATAAAGTCGTTTATTGAAGAAAATGAAAGTGAATATAAATGTGTACAAAAGAAGATCATTGGTTACCTTAGTTTTCACCAATCATATTGCATCACATCTTGCGACATAATGCTCTTCTCTGCATTGTATCTGACTGGCTGGAACGGTCCACCAATGACGTGTATCCGGCGGCTGTGCACGTGCTACTGGCGTCAGCACTCAAGGTCAATTGACCACCAATGTCCGGAAACCGTACGGCGCTGCTCCAGGGCAGGCATACTCTCGTAGATCCGAATCATCACAATTCCATCGGACCCTGGAGATTTACTTACGTTCAGCTCCGCTGATATCCGATGAACCACTTCTAATGACATACATATTCTCTATTTCCTTTGATGGGAGGGCGAGATCCGGTAGTGCCAGGTCGTCGCGATCTACTCGACGCACACTATTGAAGTATGTGCAGAAGGCG